CCAACCCTTCTGAATGAATCCATCCCGAAACATACATATAACCTAACTAGAAGCACCACGGCATACTAGTATTTCTTCTTGATGCCGATTCGGGCTTAGATGATCTTCTCGAAACCTCGCACCAGGTTCAGTCGAGCTATGCGCCGTGCTTTTTAATACTCATGAGGACCGCCAATCGTGGTGTCACGATCGGTTGTTGCATTTCTCATAATATACTTGTACTGTACCCTATCCATACCGGTATTTGTAATTGCTGATTACTAATCTGGTCAAAGCCGAATCCCATTCACGAGCTAACCCCAAGAAATAATAACTCAAGAGTTGTTGTAAATGCTGACTAATAGCCTTGTACCAACTCCTGGGATGATTCGCGATCCAATGTAAACGACGCTATGATAAGAGTCGGACGTATTACTCGCTATGAAGAACGTGTGGAAGAGCAACAGGAACCGGAGGCAAATACAGGAGGGTAACCTATGAGAGAAAATAAGGACCTTTTGTGTTGGACGCACAATCACTTTTTCTAACAATAAGTATAATTCTGTGGGAGTCCTCTTGTGTAAGGTGGTGAGTGGGGCGTTGTTCTTCTGAGGATACAGTACAAACCACCCGGCTTAAATATCGTACATAATAGGGATCCACTCGGTGCCTCTCACATTGAGGCCGCGTTCTCTGGTCGTAATTGACCGGGTGTGTCCATACACGAGCCCGACGATACGGTGCGTGTAAAAAAAAAATTTATGTTTTACTCCGTTCGTGCACACTTCCATGCCTGAGCGCTACCATCCCCAAGCAGGCAACACAGCTATCACCACTCTTTTCCAGCTTGCTTTATAACGTCGTCACAGATTATCACTCTTCTAGGTTTAAGGTCCGAAAGTTTGAGAAATGACAGTGTATTGTCTTCATCCTACTCCCCGCGGTGGATATACATGTGTGCGTGGAGGCTATCTCCCCACAGAAGGCATGAAGTGGCGGAATTGATGTATATACCTATCGCTCATGTCTCCTTCCACAATGGAATTAATGAATCAAGTTGCTACCTCTGGGAGCAAAAACGGTCACATCTCGAACACCAAACGGTAAGTCCATAGTGCGCACCACACAAGACAATGCAATACGTATGATAATACGGCACTGAGTGAGAACCTGGGATGAACCCCCCGGACGTCATTTGACGAGCTGTTGCAGAAAAAAACCAACTGGAATTGACAAATATGAGAAGGAGTCGGGCTTTGCACAGGACACACAAAGGAGGAAAACAAAGCCCAATCTAATAATATTATTAAAAATTTAATACACAATTAACCCCCGGGATTGCTGATGGGAATATCGCGCATCCAACTTGGCCCCTCCTCGGTAGCGACCCCTTACACGCAATCCTACTCATATACTACGAAAGCCTCATCTTGAATCCTCCTGTCCAACCATCCTCTAATCTCTGCAGGTCGGCCATCTAACATCTTGTTCGAATGAGAATTTACCTGTCGACTGATTCTGCACCTTGAGCCCTGCTGGCAAAAGATTCCAAGGCGGCATCAAACTTCATCGCGCGAGATGCTGTTTCCAGCCCGTAGCTTAGGCACAATATGAGTTTTTAATAAAGGAAAAGTATCGCATTGTTCGGATTATAAGGCACTATGGCATGGTAAAGTTTTCACCACACGGCTTAATATGCGTTCGGGAGGCCCGACCCACGAATCGCTCGTAGGAGAAAAAAGGTTATAGTGGTCGGGGTATTGTGTGTTATTAGGTATGGGCAACCGCCCTACTGTGGAGAGCAGGTGTGTCGGTAGGCATTACCCTGAGCTGTGGTGAATGTGTGATGCCTCTTGACATGTTTGTTATGATAGTCCGAATATAAAGCAGCACTTCTCCCACTTTTATCAATAAAGTTTCCACCTCCTCTCCCCCTCCACCACATCTTTACACCGGGGGGGGGGGGGGGAAAAAACCATCCTAACTAGCTCGTAGGCTCATATCGCAAAGCAACTTGAATGTAGGCAGCTCCATCGTTCTTGGCAAGTCAATGGGGTGCCACACAAACTATCAAAACTCGTTATACCTTGGGATGCAGGGAGGGGATGTCCAGAATTTCGGCCACTCCCTAGTGACAAAATGGCGTGGAGATTGCAACGGCAACCCTCACAGAATACCGGTACTCTAGAGACCAGGCTATGCGTAGTTGAACTGGAGGAAATACTAATACGTCGAGCATTAGGCCCGAAACCGTGAGTCATGCGGGTGGTTAGCATCCAAGACTATGCGCGAAGAGTTTGGAAATAAAGAGAGGTTTTCGAGTTTAAATAGTCTCGCTCTCGCACGAGTAGAGCTGGAGTTAACCTCATAGTTTAAAAAGAGCTTACTAGATCGGGTTTCAGGTATGAGCAAGCTTAAAACTGCGGACGGCTTATTAACCTCACCTGTAAGCTCACACCAGAGAGGTAGGGGCATATAAACACAATCTCCGCTAAACCATGCTCATGATGTAAACTGTCACAATCAACAATCGTACCTTTTTGTGAAGTATATAGGGCAAAGTTCGAGTTACCGGTATATTCACTTTTATTGAGGTGTAAGAATGAGACTGAAAGAGATAAATACTCAAAACATCACACACAGGAAAGAAATCCGCCACACTCCCTAATCATCAAACACTACTAACATGAATCCAATGTAGATATCGAGTATCTGCTCCCGTCTATTTCATCCCTAAACAATCTGTGTCTGCACTACACAAGGTCAAACCGATACATGTTTCCCAAACACCGAAGGTTGCCGTTGAGGTCATCGAAACACTAGGCCCAGCCATAGTACGTTTCAACACTTTTATCAACAACTAACCTAGTGCTTATATTTTGTCTCTATATCTAAGCAATGCTCATGCCTACGCTTCAGAGGTGGGAAAGGGGAGAACGAGGATTATGTCATAGGAAGGAAAAAACCAACAAGCGTGCTAAGAGGAATTACAACCAAGAAACATCTATACCCGTAAGCGTGATTGAAATTTCAAGTCATACCAACCCAGACCGGGGCAGCAGCAGCGCAACAATCCCTTCGTAACGACGCCGAAAAGCCAACATGAGTGGTGTTTGACCGGAGTTATCTGGTTGGTTGGGGTTGATATCGTCCCGATTAAGTAGCATTCTTACTGCTCCCTCGTATCCCATAGAGGTAGCGGCGTGGAGCGGTGTTTCGCCATTTTTATCTTGTTTATTGGGGTTGACGTCGTCCCGTTCGAGTAGCATTTTCACCAGCCCCTCGTGCCCATCGGAAGCAGCTTTACAGAGTGGTGTTTGACCAAATTCACCAGGTTTGTCGGGGTTGGCGCCGTCCTGTTCAAGTAGTATTCTCACTACCCCCTCGTGCCCATTCCAAGCAACCCGCGAGAGCGGTGTCTGGCCGTACTTATCTGGTTTGTTGGGGTCGACGTCGCCCCGTTCGAATAGTGTTTTTACCACTCCCGCATGCCCATTCTCAGCAGCACAACAGAGTGGTGTTTGTTGGAACCGATCTAGTAATTCAGGGTTCACGTCTTCCCGTTCGAGCAGTATTTTCACAACTCCCTCATGCCCATTGCGAGCAGCCCACATGAGGGGTGCATTGCCCACACAATCTTTTTGGTTGATATCACAACCTTCAACCTCTATCAAGCCGGCTACAAGTTCAACAAGACCGAAGACTGATGCACAGTGCAGGCCAGTGAACAGAGAAGATATACCGAAATTACAAAAGATTGAATACCGCTTCTGTGCTTGTAAGAGGATTTTAGTGGAGATATGTTCAAGATCGCATCGATATTTAACGAGACTAGCAGGAATCTATATATGCATATATCAGTGGATAACTCGAGGTGGATTCCCCAGTGTTGCATCTACCTACATTTCTGAAACATCTTCAGGGATCTTCTCCAAGATGTCTGCCTCCAGACTACTGTCCATTGCCTCTGGCGTTGTGTCCTCGTGCATCCTAACGTGAAGATATTTGATAACATCATCTCTCTTCGGACTTATGCGCACACTCGTTGTCCTCTCAGCCAGACACCTCCCAACCTCCGGTCGGATGTGTGGCCTCCCTGTTATGAATACTCGAGTGCCCGGAGACCTTTCGAGAATTTTGTTTAGAGAGTCAAGAAGCTTGACTCGGTATCCTGCCGCACATTCATCCAGAGCGTCAATGCATATGAATGTGGGCTTTTTCGATGACGTAGCCTGTATCATCTTCACAATGTCGGAAAACTGTGGTCCCTGTCCACCAATGGAATTTTTCCGGCCCCGGTATGCTCGCGATATCTCCTCCGGGGTCTCCTCCAGCCCAAAAACCAGCTGTCTCAGCAAGGTTCCCAGCATGCTCGTCGGGGTCTGCGCCTTTTCAGCAGCGAAATCAAAATAACAACGAGCGACCGTGGCATCCCGTCCCCCCGCCTGAGCACACAAGCTGTCTATCACCAATGAACTAACATTGCAGTTTGTCAGCACTTGCTCATTTCCTCTCACCAGCGATTCGTCCCTCTTACCTAATAAAAGTCTTGCTGACCCCCGGATCTCCGTAGCAAAACAAAGCTCCCTTATCCCTTATCGGATTCATCTCCTCCACTACCGGCACACCAGTTTATAAATCCCCCGGTTTCTAGGAGCCATTCCCCTACATTTTCCACTCGGCGGTCTCGAATTTCATGATGCCGTAACCTCGGATCTAGTGGAGATAGCCAAGCAAGGATATCTGATCGGTCACCGGCAACAGTAGGGTTGACAATAGTCGTGTTTCTGATCTTTGCTTCTCGGGATACCGGTATGGTAGATGATGAATGGATGGTGGAGTTAGCCGAATGATGAAATTCCTAAGGGCTCAAGAAAAGAGGGGTCGTTCGTGGAACCTCGCTGCTTCCTCAGGACCGTCCAACCAATCCCCCCAAATTTATAATACGACAATATCCCCCTGCTCATCCTTCTGGCATCGGTACTCGAGTAGCAAGAAATACCACGCCTCACTAAGAAATATTAGTGATGAGTGACCTTATCGGATCCCAGGATAACTCGGTATACAAATCTTACTACCACCCTAATAACGGTATATCGAAGGACTAAAGTAAATGTCCGCTGAACCCTAAAACAAATTTCAATATCGGACATCGTACCTCTTAATAGTTTACCCCTAGCATAAACAAAAATTACGATCAGTACACTGCCGTACTCGTACATGCAAAAAAAGAGCTTAATCTGCTCCTCCCTATCAGCACACACCGCCTCACTCGCGCGCTATTATCTCCGCTGTCAACCTTGTCATCCCCACTCCTCCATCTTACAACCCCTTCTCCGATCCTCATTCTTCTAAGCTTAGGACTCGAACGGCTAGTCTCTATAGAGCACGATACGACCCAATACGATACAGTGCATGACGGCAACTCACCGTAAACATATAACACTCCGTTATCCGGGCTGGCGTAAAAACGACTTTAGGTTCCACCAGAGACGCAAAAGGTGTCCATACATGGCGTACGGTAGATGGGAGGAAAGCGAAACCCCATCCACCCCCGGCATTAGGGATAAGAACATGGAGCATCTAACTTGACTCCTCCTGCACACACCCCTCCTCGTACGCTATCAAAACCTTATATTCAAGTCTTTTTTCCGCAGCAACCGTCTTCTAATCTCTGCCAGTTGGTGATCTAAAATCTGCTTGTCATTAAGAAGCTTAATTATAATTTACCTGTGCCCCGGTGGCTTGAATTACTATAGCAAAACATGGCGTTACCGGTTGTCAGACTTTACGATGCGAGATTTATTTTTCCGGTATGATACTCGAGTATTATACCCCACAGCTGTCACCCGTAACCCAGTATCTTGTCAATGGCTTCCCCGAGCACAGCACAATACTATCATATGACTTATAGTACCGTAGTATGCGAACACTAGATAGAAAGGCCTCCGCATTGTGGTGACCACAAGGGGACTAAAGCGGTCAGGGATGGGAACTACGAGTATTGATCAATCCACAGGTTGTAAGCGCAATACAATTTCTTTGTATCGTGGTTGCCTGGTTAAACATCACTCGTCCCGAGCCAGAGTAACCCCCATCAATTCTGTTCAATTCAGCACTTGAGCCGCCGATTCAAATGGAGATTCCCAGAATCAAAGCTTCAGTGCAGCGATGTCGGAAATTCACGGGCTACGCACTACATTTCGCATACTTACTACAGCCTGACGTTGTTCACCTTCACTAACTAGACTATCTTACGCTATCCGGAAAAACAAATTGGTCCAACAACCATCGAACTCAAGCGTCCAATCTGCCCATCCCCGGTACCCCGTAGGCGCCTTAAATAGCCGGATTGACCAGCTACCTATACTGCGCGTAGCGGGGGGGACTAGAGAGGCGCAGACATGTCTAGTAGGAATTACCAATTGCTAATGGACCGGGGTCCACCGCCATACTCTAGGCGACGATCTGTCCGACGAACTGGCACTCTGGCCGTACGCTTTCGGATATCTGGCTGGAATGCTCCGGGTACCTATAGGGTCACCCAGGACACTTTTTTATCTTCAAGTACCAGTATACCTGCTGCCAGGGAGTTCTCACCCAAACAGTGAATCGGCCAATGCGGGACAACACCTTCCAGGTTCACTCCCGGAAACCACAAACACCTATATCATACCATCTCGATTGTAGAACAGACCCAAGTTACCATCTGCACCGCCCTAGGAACTTTGGACCGGTAATAGGATGTATCATACCGTCATTACCCAGCCATGAAAGAACCTTTGCATCCACGCGTCCCCGGGGTAACTGGACCTTGGCATTTCCCAACCGCATCGTAAGCCTAACCCGTGTCAGGATTTCTGGATAGCCTTGGAAGGCGCCATCGTGATAAGGGAGGAGGTGTGTGCGCTTATTGGGCGCAATATCATGGTTTCCGCGTCGAGGAGTTGGGTGGGCATGCGTGGGTACCGCATATCCTGGGTCGAAAGCGTCCTTGTTAATGTTTTAGTCAGCAAGAATAATAAGCGAACACGCCAAGCAGCAACAGAAAACAATAACAGTTTCGGCCCCCTTGCCAACGGCCCAGTATCCACTCGAGTACGGTAGGCGCGTTCAGTTATTTTTACTAGCCAGCAATATTGAAGTGTTTCGGCGGCTTTCAGTTGGGGTGACAGGGACCGCATAAATAGGTTGGTGACGGACCAATCCGTGGAGCAGGATTTTGTTCGTCTCGTATTTTGTGTTTCCGGCCGGGTTGTTTACGACCAAGAAGGGGTGAGTAAGGGATCTGGCGGGTGTTCGAGGAGGTAAGCACTTCACCCAGTATTGTATGATATATATGAACCATACGGTGGTAACATTATGTGGGGTGCGGGCATCTTAAAAAGTGGGAATCTCGCCGGACGTTTGAGGGGAGTTGTTGGCGGTAAAGTTATCCCTCCCTCCGATGGGGGTGATTACGTACTCGAGTACCGGTACGTATGAGGAGAATAGCGGTACGATACAGTACTCGTGCTCCAAGGCTGATTCTCCGCAACCCCCCCGCGTCCGCTCCCGTCACTTCGTACTGGAGGCCCGACTCGTTCATGAATTACTCGTACAGGTAGATTGCGCAAGCCTTCCACTGTGTTACCGATAGGGGTGAGGCTACAGCATGGGTGCGGACAATATAAATTATGATATGATATGATGCCTGTACCGGTATCACATCCTCTGCGCCTCTACTTCGTACCGGGTAGTCAATCACTGCGTTCGCACAACACAGCACGTGACTCTCGAGGAATATGGTGAATGGGATCTCATTTCGCCTTTTCCGCCGGTGATTGATTACTTGGGCTCCGCTTCACCGTCAGTCGGCAGTTTCGTAAGCCTCACTTCTGCTACGCGGATGCGTAGACCCAATCCCCGGATTCCGATACTCACTCGTCACCCTATTCATATCTTTCATTTATTTAACACAGAATCCATCCGATTACTAATCACACACTTCCCAGGATCTGGTGGTTTTCTGTTGACCGGGTAATTGCGAGCTCATCGTCAGGCACGAAAGACAATCAACAGGGGTCTGACCAAAATCCCAGTTGTGCTCGGGTGGGAGAGTTAATCCGTGAACACCGTCGTAGATAAAACCCTTCTGGCAAATACAAAAAGCGCGAAGCGTTCACGGAATCACTTCTCCTGACAGTCAGTAGGCTTACCGGTAGATGCGTGTCGGAAGCGACTCACCCGTTGAAAATGCCCACCAAACTAACCCTGGTATCATACGAGTACCGCTATCCGAATGTGCTTTTTTGAGACGGGTTAGCGCTGGGGCTCTTGCGTAGTCCCGTTTTTCTGAGGCTTACACAGAGGGGAGGGCAGTGCTTGGTCGGATTGGCCTTTCTCTTCCTTTCTCCCTTCTTCCTTCTTCCTATTGAAACCCAATTCTACCGCGAGTCTCTGAGTTAGTGGGCAAGTGAGTAGAGTACAGTACTGTACATGAGCTTTTGAAGCTTAAACTACGCTTGAACACCCAACACCTGCACATCTGTCCTTACTCTCCTCACTCTCCCCCTGTTGCTGCTTTCCAAAAGTTTGATAGCGTAGTAGCAAGATGCCTATTGACGATGGTCTTCCGAGTGAGTGATCCACCCTTCTTCTTGCTCGCTCGCTTGCCGTTGGGTGTGTTGCCTCCTTATCATACTGATCAAGATCCTCCCAAGTCTTCCACCTGACCCCCAAAGCTAGGGAGCCCCACATCACAACCCTAACATTCACCGTGAACGGCTCTCCACCAACCGCCTCATACATAAAAACCCGGGCACCGGACACCGATGCAACATACTCCACCACCCTCCACGACGCATTCGTCCCCGACATCCTGTACGCAACCGTCATCGCAACGCCCGAGATCATCCAGCTGCTGCCGAGTTCACCGGGGACACCCCCACCACTGCCAAAGGTCCTCCTACCCAAGGAATTCACACTGCAACTGTATAACCCGGACTCCACCATCACCGTCACGCACAACCATTCCACCCTCCGCGGCAACTTCTGGGAGTTCTCACTGCCAAAGACTTCGTTCCTGCCCCCCACCGCTTCGAGATTGGACGCTGCTAGCGCGGCGCACCGGAATGCCCTATCGCATCTACCCCGTGCCACCTTCCGATGGCGCAAAGAGGGCGGTGTGCTATCCAAGAGTATGCTAAGGTGCAGTCTAGTGTCCCCCGCGAACCTCGGCAACGGGCCGAAGAAGGCCGGCGCGAACGAGCCCGACATTCCCATTGCCACGTTTGAGGGACTGGGGGATAAGAAGGGCATGGGGGACATCACCATCTACCAGAGCAATCTCAAGAGGGTCGAGGTGGAGGACCTGAAGGGGTTGGAGGTGGCGCTGGTGCTCAGTGCTATGGCGATCGGTGATATGTGGTTTTTCCCGACGAGCGTGATGTTCAACCTCACCCCTACTTCGAATTCGTCCCCCTCGACAGCGACAGCCGTAGCCAGCGCGAATGGTGAGAGGAGGAGAACTTCCAGCACTTCGAGCATCCCCCCACCGGCGGCCGTGACGCCAACTACGCAACATCCTCCCCGTCCAACATATCCGCAAAGTCACAGAACTTCGTACCCACAGCATGCCCCCCCTCCGCAACAGCGGGACTACCAATCCCACAAAGCCGAGGAAGCAGCGCGCCGCGCAGCACAGCTAAAGAAAGAGGAGGAAGCAACGCTCCGCATGCTTGCCGAGGAGGAAGCGCGTGAACGGCAGCGGCAAGAAATGGAGGTTGAGAAGGAGACGCAGAGACTTAGGACGCTGTACGAGCGGGAGAACGCGGCCGTTATGCAGCAGCAGCGGCAGCGGCCGCCTGTCGTCGGAGGTTGGGGGGGTGGGAGACCGCCAATTGTTGGAGGTGGAGGTGGACTGAAGCCCATTCAAGAAGGCAAGAAGGTTAGCTCTCGAAAGAGCTTTTTGGGACTGAGGTTTGGTGGTGGCGGGCGTAGTGGGGATACAGGGGACAGAGCGAATGGGGCCGGGGGAGTCAAAGTGAGAGGGGGGAAGTTGAGCAAGAAGGGATCCACCATGTTTTGATCGTTTGGGACGAGAGCGAGCGCTGGGGAAGGGTTACTTGTACGCTCCTTCCCCCCCCCGTCCCGTCTCGGATGGTATGCACAAGTAGCGATGTGAATACTCATAATACGACCGGGCGCATTTCTGATTTCCCCATTTACCCTGCGTTGCTTTTTTATTAGCCTCATCTGCCCCTTTTCTCTCCCTTTTCTTATATCATACTTTTTTTTTATTTTCCCCCTCGGTTTGTTTTTGCGCTTTTTAAAAATTCTAGTGTTGCGTGGTTTGCTTCCTGTTTTATTTTCATTTTCTTCTGCATCGCCAACACAAATTGCCTGTTATACCGCATGCTGTATCGTGGGTTTTGTATTCTGGTTGGGTGGCTGGGTACTCTTGGCAATGGTGTGTCGTGAAAAGCCAGTCAAGATGATCGGTATTTGAGAGACCGAAATTATTTGAAGGAACGAATGTAGTAAATAAACAATTATCATTCATCATAGCCAAGCAGAAATACCATCGAGGGCACATTCTCGAGTACATACACGGCACAGTGCAGTACTGTACTAGTACAAGTATTGTACAGCGCCAGAGCAATGCCGTGTGATGTAACGCACATATGATCCGATCATCCGATAACCCACCTGATCTGATCTCGGCACCCCAGTTTAGACAGCCCTGCAGTAGGGAGAGAGAGCTTGAGCGGGAATCAGCAGACATCTCTGGCTCTGTAGAAAATGGAAAAGAAAAAGCGTTCTATCAGATATCCGCATTGGCAGGGAGCTGGGTGAGGGAGATCTCCGAATATCTATCCACGAACACGAAAAGAGGAAATCGTTTCCAGGTTCCCGGAGACCTCGAGGAGCCCACGCTGCTGGTATCATGATACGACAGCACTCCTCAAAAGCAGTAAGCTGGCTGACAGGGTTTTCGGCCACCCATAGTTTTCGGCCATCACAACGGGCCCGGTATCATGAACTCCCAACTTTTAAACTAAGTCTACAGGAGCAATAAAAATTGAAAACAGAATAAATCTTATAAAATTGAACATATTTACATTTGCCACTCAAACATACAGGACTCCATTTTCGCTTTCTGAAGTGGCCAGGAAGTTTGCGGCACTTCTGCCTCCAGTGCTGGACGTTTCTTTATCAAAGCCCGCTCAGCCCTGGATGCCTCATCCATCGTATTCTTAATAGCTTCTGCATTGGCGAAAAGAGTATTTGGGTCCGTAGCCACCTTTCTTTTCATTTTTTTACTCTGCAGTTCCTCTAGCTGTACCAAGAGCCGATGGTTACTGGCTTGAACCAAAGCTTTCTCAGTCGCTAGCTTGCCAATTGTCCTACTAGCCTTTTGCAATACAATCTGCTGGTCCCGACTCATATCGCCAAGCTTCCCTATTGATGAATGAAGGTCCCGGGGATGCTTGGGAGTAGGAAATATCGTATTATACTCATTAAACTCCTATCTGGTACGCTTTGGTGTAGTAGGTAGTGGAGGTTCAGTTGTAATATGGATTTGTGAGGAATTGAGGGCTTTGGAAGGGTTCCCAGGATAGAGGCCGGTTGCAGACCATCCTGATCTCAGTAGATGAAGGGTAAAGGTCTCTGCTCGTGCTTTCTGATAACATTGGACAAAGTGATGCTTTTTGACCAATGCTGTAACCGGTACAGGTACTAAGTTAATAGTTTTGTTTTATGTTTTGTTTTAAGTATCACTTTGATACTTGATTTGATTTAAGTATTGTTTGATACTTAGTTTTGTTTTACTTAGTTTTGTTTAATGTTTTGTTTTAAGTATCACTTTAATACTTAAGTTGTTTTACCAAAGTGTATCATTTGATACCTTTGAATAGTTTCGTTCATGCGAGACATGAACATATTTGTGTATTTAAAGACCCCCTGATTCCATGTTAGAAACAGCAGGCTTTGACAGAAAGTATTTCAATATACTTGGTTGAACGGTTACCTCTTTATTTCTCAGTACACTCTTGAAGCCTTCTTTAATTCTCAGCTCTTGCCTCTTCCATGGTAGATGTAACGTGTTCGCAGGGTGCTAATCACGTTATCGGTACTAAGTACGATAGTTGGCAGGTGGCCTGCTCTTCCAGAGAGGAGGCGAGAGCTGAGAACTAAAGGAGGCTTCGAGGGCGTACTGGGAAACAAAGAAGTAACCGTTCAACCAAGTATATTGAAATACTGTCGGTCGAAGTCTGCCTTTTCTATCGTAGAAACAGGCGGTCTTTTAAATACACAAATCTGTTCATGTCTAGCATGAACGAAACTAATCAAAGGTATCAATCAATACACTTTGGTAAAACTCCTTAAGTATCAAAGCGATACTTAAAACAAAACATAAAACAAAACCAATAACCAAGTACCCATACCGGTTACAGTAGAGCAGGCCACCTGCCAACTATCATACCTATTACTGATAATGTGAAATTTACCATGCAAACATGTTACAGGTGCTGCATCATCCAACAAAGCAAGATCCATAATCTCTCCTTGTTAACATAACTTAAGTGTAGAGAATGTTCTCAGGTTGAGAAGCTGGAGAACATGGCTTGAATGAGCAGGAAGAAAGAGAAGAGACACATTATTTTGTTTACATTCCTACATAAACTCAATATGAACATGGCTACTATGTCTATCTAGCATGAGAAGACTTGGCATTTCCCTCCTTGTAGAATCAGTCTGAGCTGTTTTGGGAAGAAATATTTCCTTTAATCAGTGGAGAGCAATACAGTTTGCAGTCTAGCCTTTAGACGAGATGGCAATTAGCTAATCTGGAATATCATGATCTGTAAACCATGATGTCTGAATGGCTTTATCTTTGAAGATGACAAGAGGATGGATGGAGTTACCTGAGGTACTAATACATTCAAGTATAGAGACCCACTCATGGTTTTCAGGTGATTGGATATATGTTTGTCGTTTTCCACTCGCTCCCAGTACTCTCAAGTTGTTTCAAATACTAAGACCAATCCCATGTTTGTCCGTATTCCATACCTCCTCTTGTTGAATGTTTTTCTGACAGTATATTACACTGAAGTTCTCGAAGAACTTCTGAATTTGCTTTGGCTGGGTACTATGGATATGAGACGACTCAATTGGCTTGCCCAATAGGATGCTGATACAGGGATTACGCTTGAGGAAGTTGGGAACCCATCGTTTACCAAGAGGCTCCATCTCTCCAGATGCCCTGAGAATCAGGATAGCTATTTCCCGAAGCCGTTTATGTGAGGGAGCATAGCCGCGAGCTTCCTGTTCTATTATCCAATCTGATAATTTCTCCTCTTATTCCAGCAAAAAGTGCAGCTGATATGTGTGACCAGAACATGGATTTGAGGTACCTGTACGTCGGCTATTTAAGGTAGACCGTGGAATTCCAAAGTCTTTTGCTACTTTCCTTTTAGAATCACCATTTTCTATCGCTCTGAGTGCTTGTTCAATGGCAGTTTCACGACTATTCATTGTGTTGGTGTGATAGTCAGGAGAGATGTGCTTGTGGGGAAGTATGAGAATATGTGGTTGATGGTGGCCGAAAACTAGGGGTGGCCGAAAACCCTGTCAGCCAGCTTATAGTCTGGTCCCAAAAATCGAAAGCCAGCTGGGGCTACCCTTGGCGACGGCAGCGCAGAGCAGGGATCGAAGCATGACCGAGTGACGTTCTGTTTCACCACCAGTTGGGAGCAGAGGAAAGTATCATACAGTACAGTACTGTACATGTAAGGAATTTGTAGTTGTATGATACCTTAGTATTCACGTGAAGAAAACATGGCTTCGCGGGGAAGGAAGCGGTCCTTCCTAACGTGTAATCTCTTTTGGGTTACGGACACTCCACTCCGGTCCCCACTCCACCATACTTTTCTGTCATCCGTGATACGAGTATCCTACAGAATATGGCGGCGGGCTGGGAGATCACTTCCCCCCGTGCATCTTTCCTCACACCGATAAAGTACCCGTAGCCACGTGGGTTACTACCGTATCACGGTCAAGTGGTTGATATAACCAGAGAATGAGAAAAAAATGCAAAGCGGTCAAGTGCTCGAAATGCACCGATAAAATATATATCATATGTCTTTATGTTTCGATGTTTGCTTGTGTCACGCCGCATCAGGGGCTCGCTCTGAACCTGCGCTCGCTCGTGACTCCCGTTATCGCTGGAAAGCGCATGCCTACCCGCAGCTCGCGCGGGGATATGACGCCCCGCGTATCCGGCATTATCGTGCTCAGAGCGGGCAATTTGCTCGTTAAATATCGTGAGAAGTGGAAGCGATCCCACCGATATTTCGGTATCATGCCCCTGTCCGCGGAACAGCAAAGGGCGGAAGGCGCGGAAAGTCAAATGCGCTTCTTAAGGTCTTCCAGGCTCACCTTGAGGCTCCGATACCCGGGAGATGTAATGCCATAAGCTGGTGTATGAAGTCTCATTGTGTGATTGCGATTGTGACAAGCACACTTTACAAAATTTCCATACCATACTGAAATCCTGTGTTCCCGTGCATTTATTTATTTATTCATTCATTCAAAAGTGTGGTGCTGGAGACCATCACCCTTCCCGAAAAACCTCCTCTACTGTTCTCGAAATAGTAATATGCTGATGAGCTGATATTAGTATTTTGGTTTGCACTTTTGTTCCCCCCGGTAAACCCCCCCCCTCCCTTACTACGAAATGTGTATGTATCATAGTAAAAAAAATTTGACGGCGGTGGGCTGTTAAGAAGGTATCATAAGTAGAAGGGAAAAAAAAGTAGGGGAAGAAAAGCAGCTAGAATTTCTACCACAAGACCGTATATATCATACAAGAATGGGGTCACCTTGAGTCACCAAAATTAACATTTGTTTTTTATAATATCTAGATCTTGCGCAGAAACTGATATCGTACGTACTTTTTAAAATTCTTTTTTTTTTTTTTTTTTGATACCAGTAACTAAGGAACCACCGGGGGGGGGGGGGGGTTGCGCCAATCGAGCAGAACGAGAAATTTAGGAAGGATGTTTAACTAGTATATTCTTCTAACCCGGGGCGGGGGAAAAGGTGAGCTATCATTTCCAACAGCGGTGCGTTAGTGTAGACATGCCTTTTTAAATGCAGCCAGCTGAAATCTGGGATATTTGGAGGAAGTCATTCATTATGATCCCTAATGATATGATGTGATGCAGTATTTGAACAAAAAATACCAACCCATCCTTGAACTCTTTGAATCGCTCGTTACCATTACCCTACGGACCAAAACAAGCATACAAGTATCCACCGGCAATCACGAGTTCTAGCTCTATGCGGCAAGGACACGGAGGAGCCTAGGCAGCTGATATGATAGCAAGGTCCCCCGTGGAAACTAATAAACCCACCCCAGTCAGGAACCCAGAGCTAGCAAAGTTATCGTGCCCCTCACCCTACGTATTCCTCTTTCCCTTTTTTTCCCAAGAATTTGGTCGACCCGGTGGGACTGACTGCCAGAGGGGGTGTGTGAGTGGTGTATTCGAGGAGATATCTAGGCTGCCATAGCGTAAGCACACTTATACAAATCGGGTGAACATTTGTGGGAAGGGTGTGAAATAGTATTATCTTGTGAGGGGCATCCAGCACCTTCCCACCGTTAGTTAGATCCCGCTCTTAGGTCCGGAGATATTCATGTCGAGCTGTGAGGCTCGGCGGGCGGATGGGGAGGGGAGGGCAATGCTCTGGGAATATAAGAGTACTTGTTTGACGCTCTCGGTGGGATACGCACCTGCCCTGTGCATGTGTACTGTCTCGTAGGTGGCATAGAAATCCCTTTGGTATGATACTTAGGATAAGCTGGATGACGGTATCTAGCAGGGTATGTGGGTGGTAGTGCACCGAGTGAGATTATATGATGGACTTGATTACCAGTATGGAAACACACCTACCCCGCCACCGCAAGAGACGAAAATTACGTGAAAAAAAATTGAAACTATAGGAGGTTAAATCCAGTGTTGGCAAGCGGCCATTCCCGGCCTGGGATTTCTCTTCGGGTGGCACGATTGCTATAACGTTGGGGAGCTTTTATGGCATGTGTATATATCCGCATGGATTGAACGGAACACGAGCATATGCGCCAACAGCCCCCGTACCTATATGGGTGATATGCCATCTTCACCGCTCACCGCTTATGCCCCTGGGAGTTAAGTGACCGCTCTGTGAACAACTTTGTAGAGATCCGTGTTCGCACTTATAGTGTCGCCTGGATAGAGGTGTCCAGCCCGGGAAATCAGGATGGAGAAGAAGAAGAGAAACAGCTCGCCGTCCGGAATCGTTGGGGGCGAGGAGTGCTCGGGGCGGCAGGAGAGGCTGTAAGGGAGATCATCGAGTACTTTAAGTTTGCGCTGGTACTGATGCGATAGGGGGAATACGGTAGCACGACACGATAACTAAATAATGTTTTCTGGTTTGGTGTGTGAGTGGTTTGTCTACATCGAGTGATAGGAAACCCCACAGCATTTGCGTTACTCTTGATGCTTGGCTGGAATTTATTTACAGTGGACCCAACTGGTCAGTCAGTCCGTCCGGCTTTGGGCACTGTACGGTGGGACTGCGGAAAAGCGGTTTTTCGAAACCAAAGTCAATTCCGGCCCGGGGTTTCCGGTGATCACTTGTGTTCCATCGCTAAAAAAAGATTTTGTTACTCGGGAGGATAAATTGATTGTGACAAAATCATTCGGTTAATATATGTATTCACCCGGGGTGGTCAGAGAGTTGTGTGGAGAATGATATTGAGGACGGTAATAAGGGTTGGGTAGATGTTGGTATCGTGGTAATTTAGTTGTTTGGTAAATGCCATAGATTTGTCTTGAGCGAAATCCGCAGAACCAGGAGCATGTTGCTCTTGCTCTCTTGTTCCACGTTATGGAAAAGCATGCAGGCAGCTCAAAGTTGGGTTTTTTTTTTTTGGATTGTCCGAGCATCTAGTAGCTTTGGCACGGGCTGCCGCGAGATTCGACCCCGCGGTTGGGCTGCCACTGAGAATTTCGACCGGACTGACCCATGGGTCCGGGCTGGCCGCTCGGGATCACCGCCCAAATGGCAGACAGGAAGCTATCAGAATTTCCTCTTGATTCCCATTTCGGGTAAACCTTTTCGGTACCGTGCATTCCCGCGCATACCATCCGTAGGGTTTCGCATAACGGCGAAGCACAAAATACCCACAGTCTCTCTATTCCTCAAATAATTCAAAAATAAATTTAAGAAAATCACAAAAAAATAAAAACTAAGAATAATTCGAAGCCTCGAAGATGGACTGGGACCTAGTGTGAAAGTTTTAGCAACCTTCATGGAATTTTTGGCGCAATTTATCGCGCGAAACAGACCCACTTTTAGACAAGGGTGGGCCAACACACAAATCCTTTCTGACTGTGAAAAAGATTTAAAAATTTAGCAGTCGATTTGATTGGTCTTTCCTGTTTTCGGTTTACTTTCTTTTATTTTTATTTTTTCCCCATCCTGCGATGGGTGAAAAGGTGAAGTAATTCTTGGTGAAGACTTTCCCTTTTTGAATGGTATATTTCCTGGCAGATGGTATGATATCCGAAAGGCTTGATGCGAAATGCATGGTACGTATCGAGAGGGCTTTCCCCTTCCCATCTCGTGCGTCCCGGGGGCAAGAACCCAGAGGAAGATATCTCTAGATATTGCACAGATGTTAGTATATATATCTTCAAGCATCTTCGGGTATCTGTAGTCATGTGGTCTAGGGATACCCTATCTCCAGATGTTAGCATGCACCCGAAGATGTCTGCCACCACTTACGGGATGTTTACCAATCAGACGGCATATGCCAAAACCCTGCCTGCCGGCCCTTGCCAGGCTGTCCAACAACCTGGCCTACAATACTCGTACAGAACCCAGGTCGGTTTCTCACTTTGATCTGGCCTGACCGGCCTGCACCGTAGTATACTCGTATAACCTGCCGGCCATCCGTAGGCGGGCCTGGCCGCCCCGAGGAGCAGCTGCGTGGGCAAACTCGTAAATTTAATGTAGTAAAGGCCGCCAATGCGGAGCTTCCACCAGTGGGATGGTATTTTCTGTTTCTTCCCCCCGGTAGGTCCACCCAATCCATAAAGTGTCCGGGATGGGTGGCATCTTCAGGGCGGCCATCAAAGGCCTGTCCTATTTCTCCGATCTTCGACGACCCCAAAACTCGAAAGGGTCTTGGCTGCATACGATAGCTAGCCTTTTGAGGGAGAGACAGCTTACGGTGGGGTGCTCCCTGATTTCTGACGGAACGGACGTGACCGGGTCTACGGTACGAGTACTCGAGTAACTTATGCTACCTATACGAGTAGTACCGGTACACATATCCTCGCCTGGTCATTTTTTCTTTTTCCCCTATCAGTATGCAATAGCAACTGTGTTCCTAAACGCCGGAAATGAATCACCATATGGTGCCATAGTGACAGACACATGAAATCGACACTTGTGTTAATTCAGCTGACAATCCCTTTCCTCTCTGGGTTATATTAGTCCTTTGGCATCAAAAGCCGATGAACAGAATACCTCATTGGGTGATCTGGCGGGTATATATTACTGGATAATGTTACCACCTCTAGCCGTCTTAACCCGACAGCTCACATTTGCACGAGTGCACAATCAACAAAACTCCGAATCGCCCCAGCATCACTGCAGTGCAAATTTCTTTTTGGTACTTATTCCACCCAACGATCGTGAAAATTAATGAAAAACACTTTTTTTTACAGAAGCTCTTGAGCTTAAGGGTTGTGGCTGTTGATCTGGAGAGGTTGGTTGGTTGGGGGGGGGGTTGGTTCTCACCCGACGCCGTCAGTGCCGGTCAAGACTTCGCCGTATCATACCCGCGACGAAACTGGGTGGCGGTATTTGGTGGGAAAGGAAAGAAATCGCCAAGGTTAGGGTTTATGATATCATAGTTGATTCTGTTCGCCACCAGCCCAGTTTCGGTGCGAGACTTGTGTCGTAGGATCTGGAATACCGTACTCGGGTACTGGTACTGGTAGAAGGGTAATCATGTCTTTGATTATTGAATTCTCTTTCTCGACGAAGCGTGGGGAGAGAGGACACTGAAAACTCAGACCTCAGCCCACACATCAAAACAAAAGGAATTATATACTCGACTAGGTGCTTGTACGAAGGGGGTCGAGAAAAGTCTGGCGAATGTGGCTAACGGAGTACCGCACCACTTGGCAGCCAAGACTTCGCCATACTTTTTCCCACCCCCAATGTACGAGAGTCAGGTTTTAATTGCCACAGGCTCATATTCTAAAAAGATAATTCGTCGTTGGCTGACGCACCTGTCATATTTCCCATGAGGCTTCCGAGCAAGTGCTAGACTACATAACCGCATATCAACGGCAACAAATGCTGTCACATATAAATTCGGTGTCGCATTCGAGGGCCCACCACAATGGTTGCGAATGATAAGTGCGAAAAAAACCTTTGAGGGGGGGCGGAGGTTCTGCAAAAAGCATGTCGTCCCTTCTTCTCGGTTCGGAAAGGTTTTTACCGCTTGCTCGGTGTAGTCCTAAGATTGAATGACCATCTCCGCATCGAAAGCTTTCTGTGCTTTTCATGAGACCGGCTAGATCGCCAAGGATTAGTAGCCATAATGAACTAGAATGGTGAGAGGCCGAATCTAGTACCGGCATGCGCGCTCAGATGCGCAGACAACGGTTGCCATAATACTCTAGGATTCCTGGTCACAGAGCCATTCTCCTAACCAAGCCTAAAAAATAGAAATAGTGGTTACTGTTTCTCGGTCGACTTGGGAGCTCTTAACCAATCAGCTCCCAGCCCAAATTGAAAGACCACCGTTGTCCTACTTTGAGGACCCTTAATTTTTCTGTGCATGCGACGGTACTCGTAATCGTAATTTTCTGACGTTTGTGACCACAAACGTCAGAAAATTACGAGTATGGGCATTATTTGGGGCCCAGTAACACAAGTCTTTGTCCAGCAGGCTCTGCTGTCACTGATTCTAACTCACTTTCACAGGTTGTTACCCGGACTTTCTCCAAAATTTTGCCCCCCCCAGTTTTTGGGTTATCCCGATGCCTGGTTCGCAGCGGGAGCTTAGGACTTCTCAACCGCAATTGAATAAATCTTCCTGCTTCTCTACTGTACAATGTTGAAAATAAAAAATAAAAATTGGTAGCATCAGGTGTCCTACGAGCTTGTCTCAAAACGGAGATTAGAGCCCTGCATGTGTTGCTCAATTTGGCGAGCTAATACGGCGTTGATTAAAATCAACCCTCAGACGCTTGGAGGGGTTCACGGAGTATAAAAATTTATGGAGAAAATTCCAATATATTGGGATTATGGAGCAGCGTAGGCGGCAAAAAACAATAAAGAACTTGGTCCAAGCCGAATTCAGGGCATATCCCTCCACCGCCCTCAATACCACTGCCCACCTATCCCCACCTACACCAGACAATTGCGGGAGTGCTGGAGAAAATGGTTTTTTCGCCCGCCAAACCAACATGTCTATGAGCCCGTGGTTCCAAGCCGAACTCCAGGTTCTGTACTCATGGGGAAAAAGCAACCCCCCTTTGGCCCAGTCAAGTCTTCGTCACAACGCTGTGCTCGGTAGGCATGGCTGCACTACTAGAAGCGACGGTAAGGCTGGACGGAATAGCGATGGGAAAACTCATGGCGCCCGTCAACGTCAGGATTTGGTGGGGAAGTTCGGGCTCCTGGGGAGGCGGCATCAATGGTTACAAAGGTCGAGGCGTCGAACGGGCGTCTAGTACTCAAGGGTGATGGTAGACATCGTGATGACTGACTGCAGTGGGGAAGAAATGCTTGGCCGTCGAAGGGGGGAGCCCATGGGGAAGTCATATTCGGGCCTGCTATACATTCCTGGCCTATCCCCCCCTCTCTCGTTGCCTCCGAGGTTTCTTCCGACTCGCTCGAGGTGCCTGACCAGACCCATGACTTGGCGCTTGTGGGGGATAGTGTAGATACTTCTTCTGATGCCCCTTCCAGTTTCGTATAACAATCTAAATATCCCCTTCCAGTACGGCACTCTGCGCCTCGGATGGTATCTACTGGACTGGGACTCAGATGGCGTGTTCTCTTCAATGATTTTTGACCACTATCCTGCCACCTTCGTTTATGTCTCACGGTGCTATCTTGGGGACAGGCTTCCCGCCGGCCTCGCGTGAGGCCTCTGGAGTCCTGATTGTCCCCCCCGCCCTTCCCGTCACTTTCGTCGTCTGGGGAGCCACGATTACGGGGTCTAGCTTTGGTAGGGAAGTGGCGGCGCCGCGGGCTTTGGCGGTCGCTATCCACACCCTGGGTCGAACCCGGCTCAGATTGTGACAAGGGCATTGCGGAAGAAATGTCCGCCAAAGGCGGGGCGATCCTTGGTTTGTGGGGAACATCCTCTACGCCCCACGCAAGTCGTTTGTGAGCACGAATGACTTTGGTGAGATCCTCGCCCGATATCCTGCCCATATTCCTACCCCACTCGATTGTATGCTTCCCAAGGGTTGTTGGGCATAAGAGATCAATGTATCCTGAAAAAGACCCCAACACAACACTTATCGGCTCATAAATACCGCCATTTTCGTTGGGTGCTATTGGGTAGTAGGTATCCGGTTCCCTCTCGCAATAGCGACGAGCATCGCCAAACGACCGACATAACCTGGGCGAGGTGAATGGCCTGTATAAATGTATCAACAGACTGCGGGCAATACATCTTCTCAGGGGGTTACTCACAAACTTATAATATATTTCTGTTTGCGAAAAAGCACTACATAAGGCCGTGGCCTCAGCTGTCGGACATCCGGCAAGGTGGAGGAAGCAAAAACCACAAAACCCGGGTGAATCTCGGTCGTATCGCAAACTTTAGGTTGTCCACTTGAACCGGTATCCTTGACGCGCATGTTTGAGGAGGGGCGTTGTAAATGATGGAGTCGAAGGTATGAGTTATATCGATCGTACAGAGACTAAATAAACTCCGAGAGGCGATGGAACTGAATCGGAGTGTGTCGTTTTAGTGTGATCCCTCCTGGAGAATGCAGAGGGGGTCAGGAGCTTGGCGCTCCTTGGAGGGAGGCCAACTGAAAAAGGTTTTTGCAGGCAGAAATAATTTAGTGATCTGGTCCAGGTTTCTTCCGGTCCCCCCACCCTTGTTCGCACCATGAGCAACCCACCAATCATAAAAAAGTGTGGGTACAATTATTTGCCAAATCGGGCCACACAAATTGAAGGCCTGCAGTTGGTGTGAGGCTCTTCTTGCCTACCTTCTAAAAAATGTAATCCTGGGTTGGTAAATTACTCCAATACCAGTAGGAGTAGGGGCGTTTGGAAGAAAACAAAAAGTAAAAGCCGTCAAAAGTACCGCACGGTACCGGTGATCGAGTATGATAGGGTAGGGTAGCGGACCGGTATTACTGTGTAACCATAAGATAGCTATTGCTGATCCCTGTTCTTCATGGCCCCGTTGAGGACTATGAGCACTGGTACAGTATAGTACTAGAGTATTGTAAGAGCACAAGTACCATCCCTCGAAGGCAAGAGATAACCCGTGAAGGCCCCAATAAATGACCAGTTCCGACGCGTAGCTAACTAAACCTACTAACTTTTTTTTTGGGGGGGAACTCCAAAATTGTAACGCAGCGAACGCATTGCAATTTTGGATTTGCTCGAAAGGGTATCCATGGCAGTTTGGCCAATCATGCGGTGCTTACGGATTAATCGCCATTAAGCACTGCAGGCGAAGCTAGGATAGAACTTTTCACTACTGCACTCGCAGGAGATTGCGTAGTGCAAAAAGTTACTCGTACTTGTATCAGCCTGGCCATGTCTCTGTTGCATATCAAATGAATGTACTCGTACTTGTACAAGTACAATTATGTGAACAGGGGTGATCACAACTTGTCCCACCCTGTTATGATACCAAGCCTGCAGGAAAGATACCAAGCCTGCAGGAAAGATACCAAGCCTGCGGGAAAGTGCACAGATCCTGCATACAGTGCCGTCCTTGATCATCGAAGCCGACTGTTGCTATCACACATTGTGTATAGTATTTTGCTCCCAATTCCACGATGCACTTTACCCGTATTAGTACAATTTACTACACCAAACCCCAAAGAATTGTCAACTCACACACCATTGAGATTCATTCCTCCACGCAAGCCGCAGCCCAAGCCCGCAATACTCCTACCTCCTGTGGCTCCTCTGACAGCTGAGTTAATCGAGGGTTCGGCATCCACGATCGGCGAGTCGTGGTGTGAATCCCTGAGCCCCACTGCGGGGCCCAAGAAATCGGCGCTAAAGATCACACAGTTTGAGCTCTCCTGGTCACTTGTTTCCGGTTAGGGGAGGATACCCTCCAGATCTCGTTATTTTCTTAACCTCACCTCTCTTGGGCACACTTCCGAGTAACAAGGGATACCGGTAAGGGGTTGACGAACTCACCCTCTCACCTTCAGCCACCATATTATGCGGGCGCGACATCTGGCCAATCATCCAAGGACACTCGAGTACCCGAGCATGACTGCTGACCTAGATCACACTTTACATGTTTAGGTGTGATACCCCATTTTCTGGTGTATCCGGTTTTGCGCCAGTGGAGCGTTACGAGTACGGTACCGTACTCGTACAAACACTTAGGAATATGTTTTCGTACAGTACGAGTACTTAGTACAAGACAGAGATTATTATGCGGATTAACATAAATTAACTGTGCGAAAAACATATTCCCGGGTACTTGTGCCGTAAAAAACTCGTTCGATTCTCTATCTTTGTCAGGTTGCGGTACGAATATCCTTTCCGAATCGCGACATCAGCTCAAAATGGGTTTAGTTAAACGAGTTGATGGAATTGCGAAATCCAGTTAATGAGATCCAACATACAGGTACAAGTGCCATGGGTGATGTTTTCGTACAAGACTTAGCCTGCAGGGATGTTTGAGACATGAAATTCATTGCATAGGAAAACATAAATACATAGCTGCGGTATCCCATGGTGTAATGAGTTCCTGGAATAGTGAAAACACACATAAAAATACTCCTTGGCCTATAAAAATAGTATGGGCATTCTTGTCAGACTGGGGACTCACTTCACTGTGGGTTACTGTAAAGGAATGTAGACCTGGAGGTGATAATATAAGGAAAGTGAGAGAGGCCATGAAAAAGATCCAAAAAAAAAAAGTGAAGTACAGTCACACCTCACTGTGCCGGATGGCCAACATCCTCCTAAGATTCTAGAATTTGTTTAGAATTGCAGATTATACGGATCAATAGGTACAGTTTCGTTGTAAATTTATTCAGGAATCTGAGAATTTCATCCAGAACAATGGGGAATCCAGTAGAGTGAGGTCTGGGAAAATGGAGTGCGACTGCATTACAAGCAATGCATAAATGAAAGGTGAAAAGAAGAAACAAAAAGAAAAGACAAAATCCTCCTTAATAACCGGAATAGCCAGCTTGAGTAAGATGAATTTATATTGAAACTCGTAGTTAGTATGAGGAGAAAAAATAGAAAGGAAGTGGAGTTTTAACCTCATAAAGGTAAGTAGGAAGTGAGTCTACTAGTACTTCCAACTCATCTGGAGCAATAGCTGCCCATTCTGCCTCAATAGCAGAGTGGAGGGCTTCCTTTGCAGTAGGAAAGAGGTTTGCTGCGACGAATGTATTACTTTAGGATTCACCAAAGGTTTTCGATTGGACTACAATTAGGGTAGGAGGGGGGCCAATCGATGAAATACCTCCAGATACCAAGTGTGCAAAATTGATTCTGGATGGGTGCTGCCTGATAGGGGCTTGCCCCATACTGCTAAAGGTAGATATAGTCTAGCTGGAGCTGCAATTGCTCCTGCCAAAATTGGTGAAAGTGCAGAACTATATGTAAAGTAAAAGAGGTAGCCATAATAGTCTTACCCCACTGCTCCTTATACCAAAAAATTAGTAGCCCTTTTTGCCGGCCTTTAAAATGAGTCTAAACTATGATAGTTTCCAATTTTTTGAATTTTAGTATTGTTCGGGGACAAAATTAACTAGCTGTCAATGGCCAGAAAATCTTCGGTAATGACAACCACACTCCCCCACTAACCCACTATCATGAAAACCCAAAAGAAAATTAAAAAATATAAATACATAGTAGAGATTAATATTTAGTATACCATCCATTAGCCTTAATAATTGCTTCCACCCTATCCACCATTGATCCTGCCAAAGTATCAGAAACCTTTGGGTCCAGAAGTTCCCAACAATGAGTGATAGCCTCCTCTATAATTTTTTTGATCTCATTGACAGGGTCCTTCAGGAGAAACAGCTCAGGATAGTGCTTATGAAGCTTGTCTTTTACCAGAGACTAAACATTTTCAATTGGATTGAGGTCTGGTGATTAGGGAGGAATTTCCATCAGAGAAATTCCATTTCTCCTGAGCCATCTCCTGAAAGGCAAGTGAGTCTTAGCATTGTCAATGATCAAAAATACCTCTTCCTCTCCAACATGCTCCTTGATATCCTCCCATATTCCTGGAAAGTCATATTGATCATAAACATCAAGAATTGACTTTCCAGTCACTCCACCTCCAGCAGAAGTAGGATCAGGAAAAACAGGTAAAAAAAGACCATGAGTTTGACCATAGAAACAACCAGTCATCATCTGACTAATCTTTCTCTCTCCTTTCCTAGCAGTAGGTTCAACACAATCCTTATTTCACTCTTCTTTTGGACATCTAAATATTCATTTTCTTCTCTTTCCTTCTCCCCTCTCCACAGCTACCTCATTCCCCCACATTGCCTTCCTTCTCCACATTTGCCTTGTTCAATTCCTATGGGCTAATACCTATTCCAATCTCTTTTGAGCTAGATCCTTATCCAAATGAACCCTCTCTTGTACCATCCACTTTTTAAGATGCTTTTGTGCAAGTTTTCTCTTCACAGTCTTAGCAGAAACATTGGGAGCCACTCTCTCGCAACAATCTCAGAGTAACTGGTATCGTGATTTTTGAGAGCTTCCTCTACCATAGCATCATCCTGCAACTTGGTGGTTTTAGGATGTCTTCCTCTACCTTCATTCTCCTTGCTCTCTTGATCTCTCTTTGCAAATGTGCTTTTAACAGTACTGAGAGGAATGTCAAGGTAGTTGGAAATTTGGTGATTGTCATCAGAGGCTCGTGTAACCCGAGAATTCGTCTCCTTGTAAACTCAGAAAGGTGCTTGGAGGGAATAGGCTGTTTGGCATGACTGCGAAGAATAGGAGGCATAGTTTATTAAAAAAAAATTTAAGTAAATTAGTTTAGTTTTGGTTGGTGTAGAGCAATTTCTTTAGGAAGTGTTGAGGGAGTGGGGTGATGAGGAGGGGAGCATTGCCATTGCCGTTGAGAGCTAGTTAACTTTGTTCCTGGACAATACTAAACAATCCTCTAGATCCTCTTCACCAGCCTGCTGAGTAACCAATACTTGACCACTAGAAGAGAGTCTACTGACATTAAATCCTGACTCGTTACTCCAAATTACCTAATCAATCTTATATTAATATTGCCACTGCTTAACTACTAATAAAATAGAAGGAGTAGAAACCTTATGCCAATCAGTACGAGTCCAGTTAGCATAATGCTCAGCCCCATTAAGCCTCTTTTCCTTGGCTTTAATAGTGAGAAACGGGCGTGCCCAATCTACTTGACTGTGATAACCTTCAGTTGCAAATGCAGTATGAAGAACCTCAGCACTAGCATTTACTCCAGCTCACTCAGCAACCTCTTGGAGGGGTAGGAGCCGATTGTTCTAACTCGCAGTTGCAAAGTCAATCAATCTCTTACCGATAGGAGTGGTTAGGATCCTCGGTCTGCCAGGTTTTACTCTGTGAGGGATGGCTGGTGCCTGGCACATTGAATATACTGTACTGGCTGCGATGCCAATTTCCTCTGCAATATGTCGGAATGTCCAGGCAGCATATTTACACAAACCACGTACTTTTGAGCACAATGAGCTACTGATCAATATGCTTTCTGGAGTTATCCTTCTGGAGGCTGGCTGAGAAATAGGAGCAGGTGAAAGAGTCCTTCAAC